CTGTCGTCCTAATAATTCGAGGACAATGAACCAGGTCGACCCAGAACTTAGAAAGCTAAGGAAATGAGTGTTTAATTCTAGAATCTGAGAATTTGTTTCTGGTGAGGAGGAAACTATATCTCTTCTTTAAAAAAAAAATCTATTCTGGGGCACCTGGGTGGCGCAGTCGGTTAAGCGTCCGACTTCAGCCAGGTCACGATCTCGCGGTCCGTGAGTTCGAGCCCCGCGTCGGGCTCTGGGCTGATGGCTCAGAGCCTGGAGCCTGCTTCCGATTCTGTGTCTCCCTCTCTCTCTGCCCCTCCCCCGTTCATGCTCTGTCTCTCTCTGTCCCAAAAATAAATAAATGTTGGAAAAAAAAATTAAAAAAAAAAAATCTGTTCTTTATGACTTCAGGAGACCCTAAAAACTGTCCTCAAATATATACTTTAAAGGGCATATAGATACTGTATTTTCTAGATCATTAATAAAATACATACACATTCATAAACACATATGCATAGACCATGACCTGAAAACCAAACTGTACGTACTCACGTGGAAAAAAATTACAATAAAGAGCCAATCTACTGTTACGTGCATGTGAAAGGCAACTTAAAAATGAATTGAGCCACGCTGCCATCGGATTGAAACTTAATAGTTCCTATAACGACTTTATACCAGTTTCTGGAGGAAATACCTCCAGTTTCTGGAAGTTTCTGGAAATACCAGTTTCTGGAGGAAATGGTAAAAGATCCCATTCGTTTTGTACGTTTGGTTTCTTTCTGTGAAACCGATTTATTCGTTGCAAATAAATGGTCTCCTACTAAAACTACCAACTCCGAAGGCATCTAGTTTATTTTTGTATCTCTCCCCTCAAAAGGTGGAACTAACGATCTGGAATCTCCTTTTTTATTACATGCCCCTTTCCCGTCAGAGCCAGTATTTTAGTTCCTGGATCCGTCATCGCCCATTCGGTTACTTTTCCTTTTGTTTATTTTCCAAATCAGGAAGTATAGCCCCACGTTTTGTTAAAGCTTTGCATTCCGGTAACCTACTTCCTGCGGCGGAAGCAAGCAGGGGGAGTTGGCACAGAGTCGTGAACGTTCCCTGGAGAGCCTCCTTCCCGGTCCCCACCTTGTTTCCAGCATCATCCCAGCACAACACAAAACGAAATGATTTAGCAAGCACCGAGACGTGTGCTACGTAACAGGAGTTAGTAAGGCACGACACAAGATCAAATCCTGGGATGTAGTGACAGAATACAGAGCCCAAGCAGAAAACGCGCCACGCTGAACTCAGACGCCTCGAGGTGCAAGCAGAGTACACGTTTTCAGGCGGTTGCTTTTTTTCCACTTCGAATATTTGTTTTTGAGCCTAAACCGCCCCCCCTCCCCAAGAGCCCCGGGGCACGCCCGCCACATTGCCGGCAACCCCGGCGACCGTGCGGGGGCGCTGAGCGCTGAGCGGACCTGCGCGCGCCGCCTGCGGCCACCAGGGGGCGGCAGCGCCCCGCCGGGGAGCCGGCCGCAGCCCCGCGGGGTCTCCCGGAGCGTTTGCCCGCCGGGCGGGGGAGGGGACCGGCCTCTGACCCCTGCGGTGGGGGCGGGGCCTCCCCCCCGCGGCTGCACCTGCTCTTGCGTCACGTGAGCGGTACCGCTGTCCTTCTTCTCCCTGAAGTTCGGGTTGCCGGCGCCCCTTCTGCCCTCGCACACCGCAACGGAACCGCTGTGTGTGCCCTGCCTTTACAGGTGTGTGGCCGCGACTCGTGGGCAGCCGGCGGGGGCCTCCTCCCCGGCTTTTTTCCCCTGCTCGTAACCCCACGGCGAAGGTGAGGCCAAGGAAGAAGCGACTCCCGCAACTTGAAGGGCATCCCGTTAAAGAAAAAGCCGCCTGCTTTCCCCTTTTCCCCTTTCCGGTGGCCGGGATGGAGACGTGACGGAGGGAGCTGGGGCGGCTCCCCTGCACCAAGAGGACCGCCCTACTGGTCATCGTGGATCGGCTCCGTGGACTCAAAAACAACAGAGAAGTCAGCCTAGGGGTCAGCTTGCCTCTAGCTCCCTTATGGATTTCCGAAATGAAACACGAGACAAATTATTACATCAGCCAATGCAAGCCGGGGAGGAGCGTGAGACTGCGCGCTGGCCGTCGGCTGCGTCGGCTGCGGTGTTGCAGGTGCGCGCACCGAGCCAAGAGATGCGAACACAAGCCGCGGCGGGTGGTTCCGAGCTGCGCACGCTGCCGCCCCCCGCTGGTGGAAAATCTCTGAGCACAAACACCGCACGTGCCAGGTTCCCTGTAGGGCAAGGCGCAGAGTGTCGGGCTCCATCACAGGAGCTGGACTCGCTGGGGTATGACAGTCCAGAGTTCACGGTAGACGTGGGACATCGTGGGACATCGTGGCTCTTCCCAGCGTTGCGAGGGAGGAGGTGAGGGCTCCCGGAACGGGGCCACGACAGCAGAGGCCACCCGAGCTCGGCCGCGGGAGCGCCCTGCGTGTGCACCGGGGCGGGCACAACCGGGCCCCCCAGGCACCCCCTTCCGCGGCCACGCTGCGTCCCCCGCCCCCACAAGAGGGCGCTGTCCACCCCAGTACAGAGGAGCTGGAGGGCGGCCTGGGGAGGCTGGGACCCACCGGCCTCTGGAATCCTGGGGCAGAGGCTCTCCGCGCCGAGTGTTGCGGGTGGGTGGGGGGCGTGGGTGCGGGCGCTCAGTTACCGCACTGGTTAGGCGGTGGGCGTGGCCTGACCCCAGGCAGCCGCCCCTTCCCACCTTCGTTCCGTGGGGACGTGCGTCTGAAAACCTGAAAAAGGAGCGGGTATTTGCAACACAGCTTGTCAGGAAGGAGGAGACTCCCCGAGAAAGAATTCTCGAGTGTGTGACGTTAACCAGAGTGTGAAAAGTCGCTCTGCCTTCAGAAAACGGGTTGTTAGGAGCTGACTTGTGGCCCCAAACTCACCTGGTGGAGTCCTCACCTTCGGTTCCTCGGATGGGACCGAATTTGGAGACGGGCGGGGCCTTACAGAGGTGAGTAAGGCCAAGTGAGGGCCTGTGGGTGGGCCCTGACCCAACGTGACCGGGTCACACAACAGCGAGCAGGCGGCTGTCTACACGGCCAGGAGAAAGGCCGTGGGAGAAACCGACCCTGCCCACGCCTGGATCTCAGACATCCAGCCTCCGGGACCGTGAGGCAGTAAAGGTCCGCCACGGCCGCTGCGGGGTCGGTGCCATTTTATTCCGGCACCTTCCCAAACTAACGCGCGATTCGCACGCACGCTGTATTCCTTTCGACCAGGTTCTCTGTTCCTACACCTCCGCGGTGCCTGGAATTGGCACGCGTTTTCAGAAATCTTCAAAGGATTTGAAAATATTGTACTTTTCCGGCCTCCTTTTAAAACTAGCCTAGGGGCGCCTGGGTGGCGCAGTCGGTTGGGCGTCCGACTTCAGCCAGGTCACGATCTCGCGGTCCGTGAGTTCGAGCCCCGCGCCGGGCTCTGGGCTGATGGCTCAGAGCCTGGAGCCTGTTTCCGATTCTGTGTCTCCCTCTCTCTCTGCCCCTCCCCGTTCATGCTCTGTCTCTCTCTGTCCCAAAAATAAATAAAACGTTGAAAAAAAAATTAAAAAAAAAAAAAAAACTAGCCTATCTGTCCGGAAGCAAATAACGACGCTGTCTGCAAGGTGATGCTTCCCTGCCCACGGTGTCCCCTTTGTGGAGATTTATGGGTAGCGAAGTCTCATTTGTCCGGAAATAAGTGCTCAGGATCGCCTCAACTACTCTGGAACAGGAACCAAGAGAACTTGTCTTCTGGCCAGGACAAGTAGTTGTGCTTGTATATAAATCCGCACGCGTGCGTATGTAATCAACATAAGCACATGTATACGACTAACTTATGAACAACACACGGGCAAATCCTAAGTCGTTGCCCCTGGGAAGACAGTTCTTACAAGAACAGATAGGTGATTCCCCAGCCGTCTGATTCCCCAGCCGTCGTAGAGTCTCATCGCCAAGGCGCGGAGGGTGGCTTAATGTCAGACGTAAGGTCCAGCCAGAGCCTCCGATGGGAGCGGATTTGGGGAAACCAATGAAAAGAAGACACTGGGACCGTTAAAGCACAAACCAGAGCCACCTAATATGGGAGCGGATCCGTGTAGCTCTGGGTCCCCTGAGGGCGGCAGTGCATTTCGGCACCGAACACTTACGGGGATGCCCAAGGCAGCAAGAAACGATATGTAATGAAATAAAGTATGTGTCATATTTTAGAAACGTTTTTATTCATTATGGCTGAAATTTTAAACGGGCTAATGCATAAAGAAGTAAGCTTCACTTATCTGAAAAATTATACACAAGAACTTATTTCGGCTGTGCCCAGCAGACACGGTGCTTCTGTGCCAGCCGGGGACACACGCCGAGCTGCGGGGACCCGCTCGGCGCATCGGCCGTCCTGAGAGGAGCATCTGAGTAATGTCCCTGTGCTTTGATTTCTGGAGTCGAACGCTGACAGGTTCCAAGGAGGTGGGACCTCTGAACACCACAGTCTCCCAACTCAGAACACCGATTCTGGAAGACGAATCCTACTTCCCGTGCAAAATAGTTTTATTTTGTAAAGCCAAAACTATCTGTAAACATACAGACGTTGGATCCTAAGCTATCACTTCGAATTTCATAGAAAGATGCGGTTGAAGCTTGCAAGAACAGTAGAAAGTTCCAAATAACACGTGAGTCAGGATTAAACACGTCAGCGTCTTTGTAACACTACCTGCATTTTTGTCATATTCGTCCTTCTTCCACTCGCGTTCATATATTTACAAAGCACTTTCAAAACTTGCGGTCTAGGAACTTTGCAAAGTTGAGGAGCGCTGTTAAAGTCTGGTTCCATGACTGGGGCGCCTGGGCGGCTCAGTCGGTTACGCGTCCAACTCTTGGTTTCAGCTCAGGTCATGATCTCACAGTTCGCGGGATCGAGCCCCGGACCAGGCTCTGCACTGACTGTGGAGCCTGCTTAAGATTCTCTCTCTCTCTCTCTCTCTCTCTCTCTCCCTCCCTCCCTGTTCGCCACCAGCGTGAAGCGCTTCCTACCCACATCCCCCCGTGTGTGTGTGCCGCTTCTGACCCGCTGTGGACGCGCAGCAAAAGTTGTCTGTATACTGTCTCAGGAAGCTTCCTTGCTCCATTCTAAAACTCAGATTTAAACACCTAACACTCCCGACTGTACTCCAACCCCCAATTTCACTACGCTTTGTGTAACAAGTATTTATTAAGCCCCTCCGTGTGCTGAAAGTGTGCCGATGGCATGCGTCTTCGTGGAACTCTGTCGAACCGATTTTTGGGGGAGAATTGTCGTATCTGCAGTGACCGTTTTCCCAGGGAAATAAAGCAGACGTCTGCTCTCCCGACGGCGCGCTGCGACCCGCTCTGTCCCGTCCCCCAGGCCGCTTCTCCAGCCCGGGGAACGCATTTCGGTGTCTGCCTGCGCTGCCTCGTGTGAGGCTCTCGTGTGACGTTCTCTGCTTCCATCTCGCGAACCCTGCACGTGTGTGAAGTGACCAGGAGACACCGGGCTCTAGGGGCGGTTCCGCGCCTGCTTCCGTAAAACGTCCACGTCTGCCAAGAGTCCTCTCTGCTTTGGGGAACGCCAGCCGTGGGGAGCCCCGGGGGGCTCGGGGCTGCGGGGAAGAAAAGTGGGGACACGCCACGTGGGGGCCCCGGCAGCCCCGTCAGGATGAGACCCCCGCGGCCGGTCCCATGGGAGGACGGGGTCCCGGTCCAAGTGCACGTTCCCCGAGCCGCCGGGGGGGGGGGGGGGGGGCCGCGGCCCCGGGCCGGTCACATGGTGAAGGACGACGCGTTGTCGTTGTCCGCGGTCTCGCTGTTCTGCCTGGAGGTGAAGGCCTCCGAGTGCAGCCTGGAGCAGGAGAAGCCCGACGCCTTCTGCTTCCTCCGCACACACCACAGGTCCTTCACGATCTTTAGGAAGTAGCTCCGAAACTTCTGGCCGATGAAGGCGTAGAGCACGGGGTTGAGACAGCAGTGCAGGAAGGCCAGGACCTCGGTGACATTCTGGCTATAGCCCAGCAGCCTGGCGCCCTGGCAGGAGCGGTTCATCCTGCCCAGCTGCGCGGCCGTCACCAGGAGCACCATGTTGTGGGGGATCTGGCAAGCCAGGAACACCAGCACCACCGCGATGATCACGCGGATGGCCTTGTGCCGCTTGGAGTTCTGAGCCTGCACCAGGGTTTTGACGATGAACGTGTAGCAAAAGATCATAAACACCAACGGGATGAAGAAGCCGAAGAGGAGCTGGAGCCCCAGCATCAGCAGCTTCCACTTGATGGGGTCCGAGACCGCCTGGTACCGGGGCTCGCACACGTAGCTGCCATGCACGTCGTACTTCTGGTTGAACGTGAACGTCCAGCCGGAGATGAGGACGGAAGCCACCCAGACCACGAAGCAGATGGCCCTGCGGTGCGCCAGCGTCCTGGACCGCAGCCTGAAGGACTTGGTGGCCTGGACGATGGCAATGTAGCGGTCCATGCTGACGCAGGTCAGGAGCAGCATCCCGCAGTTGAAGTTGATGGCATAGATGCCCTTCATCAGCTTGCACGTGGCGTTGCTGAAGATCCACTCGCCGGTGGCGTGGCTGACGGCCCAGAACGGGAGGGTGAGGACAAAAAGTATGTCGGCGATGGCCATGTTCAAGAGGTACACGTCTGTCATAGACTTGGCTTTCTTGTAGAAAGCAAAGGTGACCACCACCAAAACATTGCCCAGGAGGCCAAAGATGCAGATCAGGGAGTAAGCGATCGGCACAAACAGCCCAGAGAACGTTCTGACCTCCTGCAGGGAGCACAGTAACGTGTTGTCATCAAGTGAGTAATCCGAGCTATTATTACCCGACCCAAAGTAATCCTCACTCAGACCGAAGACGTCGCTGATGTTCATCGGTTCCTGGAAGGCGAACAGAGGTAGAGTTAGCTGCACTGTGATTTCCAAGGAGGCCCGGCTGACCGAAACGGTACCCCCGCCAAAGGAGACTAGACGCTCACCCCGTTCATCGCGCTCTTGTTTTCGGCGGAAAATACGGGCCTGGTACGGAAGGGGGTGGGCGTCCAGCCCCTCCGGCTCACCAGCGGAGACAGTAGAGAAGTGAGTCTAAGGAGGAAAGAAAGCAAGATACACTGTAGTTGAGACAGAAATGTTCCCAGGGAGCCGGAGAATCGCGTTACCAGCATTCCGTCTCACGAGGACCCAGAGCGTGTGCAGCATGCTGGCTTACGTGAAAATATCCATTCGGGGGGGAGTGCCTGGGGGGCTCAGGGAAGCATCAGACTCTGGGCTTCGGCTCAGGTCATGATCTCACAGTCCGCGTGTTCGAGCCCCGTATCGGCTCTGTGCTCACAGTATGGAGCCCGCTTGGGATTCTCTGTCTCCTTCTCTCTCTACCCCTCCCCCACTCTCTCTCTCCCAAAATAAATACATCAACTTAAAATTTTTTATTCTAGAGAGAGAGTGTGAGCAGGGTGGGTGCAGAGAGAGGCGGGGGGCGGGGGGGAGCGGCGGGGACAGAGGATCCGAAGTGGGTTCTGCACTGACAACAGGGATCCCGATGCGGGGCTTGAACTCACAAACCCTGAGATCGCGACTTGAGCTGAAGTTGGATGCTCAACCAGCCGAGCCACCAAGGCGCCCCCCCCAAAATACTTGTTTCAAAATATTCATTTAGAACAGGGGTCCACAACCTCTTTCTGTAAAGGACCAGATGGTAAATATTTTCCCTCTGCAGGTCATATAGTCTCTGTCCCAACTACTCAGACCTGCCCCGGTGGCGTGAAAGCAACCATAAACAATTTCACAAATGAATGCGCTTGAGTCCATGGGGCATCATTTGTCAATCCCCGATCTATAGCGTAAAGAAGGGTGATAGCAGCAAAACCACAGATTCTGACCTACACAGAAATCTTGGTGCAAAAGTCAATTTAATTACGTTCAATAAGATTCGACTGAACAACATCCACAGAAGTGTAGGTGCGACTACAATACTTAGAATTTACAGTCTTTGCCTGCAACTAGTTGACAGAATCATTCGGTGTTTTTCATCCTGCTGGGGATGTGAGAATCTCCCGTAGAATTTTTTTTTAAAGTCTAAACGTGCCAGTCATTCTCAAGATACACTGAGTAAGATTCCCGGGCTCGAAAGGCAGGAGGGACGTGTATATGCGTCTTAAAAGTCACCGCTGTTGCAGCCTACAACCACTAACCTGCAGGGGCAGCGACATCCTAATTATCAGAAACCAGACCGCGGGGAGGAAGGTCAAAGCCAAGAGGGGCAGTGCCCGGGACCCGGCTCAAGAAATTCGCCGGGATACGAGTGAGTGCGGAGCTGGAGTCTCAGAGGGAAGGGCTCTGACCACTGGCGTTTGAAACAAACTCAAACAGGAAAGGACGGAGAATTCTCTTCTCTTCACATCCAACCATTCCCTGTTATTGAGTGTGACCGTCCTGATATATCATCTGTCCCTCCCCGTCCCCAATAAATTCCCTGGCCCAGGATGCTGATAATCGTGTCAAATGTGTCTTCATCCTCCTCCTCCTCCCCCCCCCCCCCCCCCCCCCCGCCCCAGGTGCACCGGCAGGGAATCTATCACCTACACAGTCAGTACCCATACCTGACATTCTGGGAGGAAGTCAGGATAACACAAAACTCGCCCTCGCCCTGAAGGATTTTCTGAGCCTACTTGTCATATCGCTGGTTTCTCATCGTGCTGCTTCCACAGTCATGGATGGGGCGGCCCCCAGCCCGTTCCTTCCCTGATGCCTGGAGCTGTCACTTGGGGAGTCTTTGCTGCTTCCCAGCCACTGCCCTGGATGTGCCACTAGGGGGAGGCGTGGGTCACCTGTGCACATCTGCAGTCACCTCCAGCATACATTCTCGGGGCTTTAGGACGTGCAGAAGAACCAGAAAGTAAAGCCTTTGTGTGTGAAAGAATAGGAGAGGGTGGATATAGCAATCAGATCGTCAGGTGAACCATATCAATCAAACATGACTACAAGATTGACGGTTCCAGCCAGGAGGGATTAACAGAAACCGAATGCACCCTACGGCATTCAACAACCAGAAAACCCTGTAAAGTATGTCCAATAACAGTTTTCCGACATTGGTGTCACAGGGTTATGGTCCCTGACGAGAAGAGAGCAGGCAGAGAGTGCTATGGCCCCGAGCTCTGTGAAGCCCCAACTTGCACAGAAGCAGTTTCCAAGTGCAGGGCGTGGGGGCTACCTGACCCGGGCATGGCCACCCCACCGAGGACACAGGGATCGGAGTCCTGGGAGGCCAAGGCAGCTATGCTTTGCAAGACAAAATATGGGGGAGGAGGGAGCCACACACAGAAAAATAAGGACAGTGGCAGAGACGTGTCCTGGAGAGGAAGCAAGGCAAGACTGATCCCAGAAAGGGGAGACAGAGAAATCCTCGGAATCCTCGCAGGCTAGGAATGGTTCTCTCCCGCAGGAAGAGTAGCAGCACCTTCTCAGTCCCAGATCATGGGACAGCATCCTCAGAACAATACCGTGTTAGGAGGAAGGCCACTCAAATGAACCTACCTTAAGCGCTGCTCTGATCCTGCCATAGCAAAAGAAAGTCTCGGATGTGATCCATGTGATTCCAGTAACATAACTACATTCCAGAACAAAAACATGTGACAAAATCCAGCCTTCGACCATGTGAAGTTCATGTCGGGCATCCAAACAAAAATCTCTAGACCACCGTAGGCCGAATGTCTGTGTCTCCCTGAAAGACGCTAAAGCCTAATCCCAAGGTGGTGGCATTTATAGGTGGGGCCTCCCCTCGTGCGGGATTAGTGTTCCCAGAAGAAGAGACACAGGACAGCCTTCTTGCTCTCTGTCTGCTCGCCGCCACGTGAAGGCGACAAGAAGACTGAACCAGGAGGGGGTCCTCCCTAGACATGGGCCTGCTAGCACCTGAACCTTGGACTTCCCAGCCTCCCCGACTGTAGCAATAAATGTATGCTGTTCAAGCCACCCTGAGGTAACCTGTCACAGCCACTAACGGACTATAATGCGGACATTTGAGGAAACAGGAAAATATGACCCGTAATCTATATGAACAAACAGAAAAATAACAGAGATGATAGAAAAAACTGCTCTGTAGCTAGTACAAATACACTTCAAATGCTCAGGAAAGTAGAGGAAAGCATAAATACAGTGGAGAAAAGATACAAAAAAGACCCAAATCAATGTTCTGTAGATGAAATATATAATATGTAAAAAAACAAAACAAAACAAAAAAACGCTGATGAGGATTAACATACACAGATCAGTTGTAATTCTCTGCCCTAGCAATATTTGGAACATTTGGCCATTGAAACTGGAAAAAAAAATCACAAGGACATCAAAAACATGAAATAAAATACTTACGACTACATCTTCGAAATCGACACGAGATTTCCATACTGAAAACTATACGACGTTGCTGACAGAAAGTAAGATCTAAATGAAAGGAGAGTTGTATCGGGTTCAGGATTAGACAGCGCAATATTAGGGTGTCAGTTCTCTCCAAATTGATCTACAGATACAACACAATCCAAATCAAAATTGTGGCAGGACTCCTGAAGAAACCAACAAGCCGATTCCAAAATTTATATAGAAATCCAAGGGATTTAGAAGAGCCAAAGCAGTTTTGAAAAAGAGGACAGAATCGTAGGATTCATACTATCTGATTGCAAGACTTCCTACGAAGCTACAGGTGTCGTGACAGCATCCTGTTGGTAACAGGACGGACACACTAGTCAATGGAAGAGAATGGAGTCCAGAAATAGACTGCACGTCAACGGACGTCCGCACGTCAACGGACGACTGATTCAATAGGGAAAACGCAATCTTGGCAATAAATGGTATTGGAACAACTGGATGTTCATGCATAAGAAGTTGATGCTGGGGCACCTAGGTGGCTCAGTCAGTTGAGTGTCCGACTTCAGCTCAGGTCATGATCTCCAGGTTCGTGAGTTCGAGCCCCGCGTTGGGCTCTGTGCTGACAGCCTGGAGCCTGGTTCGGATTCTGTGTCTCCTGGGGCACCTGAGTGGCTCAGTCGGTGGAGCGTCCGACTTCGACTCAGGTCATAATCTCACGGTCCGTGAGTTCGAGCCCCACGTCAGGCTCTGTGTTGACAGCTCGGAGCCTGGAGCCTGCTTCTGATTCTGTGCCTCCCTCTCTCTCTCTCTGCCCCAACCCACTCACATTCTGTCCCTGTCTCTCTCAAAAGTAAATAAACATTAAAAAAAAAAAAAGGAAGTTGATCCTTACTTTGACCTCCTGCTACAAACAAAAAGATAACTCAGAATGAATTATAGATTTAATGCGAGTGCCCAAACCATGAAACATCTGAGGAAAACAGAAGAGAAAATCTTTGTGCCCTGGGGAGTGGTAGAGATTTCTTACCTAAATTGCAAAAGGCATGAATGGTGTAAAAAAAAAAAAAAAAAAAAAAAAAAACCTTTTGATAAATTGATCAGAATTTAAAGCTTCTGCTTTTTGAAAAATGCTTCAGAAAATTAAACACAGACCACAGAATGGAGAAAAAATTTGTAACCTTAAATCTGATCATGGATTGTACCCAGAAGATACAAAGAACTCTTACAATTCGGTGTCAGGAGGACACAACTCAACAAGAAACAGGCAAAAAGTCCGAAGTCAGTTCACCAAAGGACATACACGGACGGCAATTACCGCACAAGGAAAGATGTTCGAGGCGATTAATCATCGGGGAAACGCAAATTAAAACTGCGCTGAGACGCCGCTCCCCACCGGAAGCGTGGCTGAAAGTAAGAGCAGACAAGACAGAAGGTGCGGGTGACGATGTGCCGTCCAAGCGCTCACGCTCTGGTGGCGGGACGCAAACCCCCACGGCCACGGTGAGAAAAGAGGGTCGTGGTTCCATACGAAGTAAAACACGCACTTACCGCATGAACCGGCAGCCGACGCTCGCGTGCGTAGCCCAAGAAAATGAAAGGCTAGCGCTTGAAAGGCTACGGCACGTTCACACTCATCGCTAGAAAGTGGAAAGAACGGAAGCTCCCATCAGCCGCTGAACAGAGCAGCGCATCGCGCTGTCCCCGGGTGATAAAGCAGCGGCCGG